GGCAGACTATTGTCAGCCTCTTGACAGCAGGTGATCCTTGGGTGAAGAATAGTGGCTTTGAAGTAACCTCCTATTTCCTAAGCATCACCGGTAATTAGCTATAGGGATTAGCATAAGGCAACTGCCCATCTCCTACCATTTACAGGTAGTATACTACATACTTCAAAGAGAAATGAAGACAATGTTATTACTACACTCACAGTTCATCTAAATGTTAGCATCTCCTTTTGATCTCTGAATTGACAGAATAAAGCGACATACAGGAACATTGAATCTGGGTAAATTAGCCTGCTAGTTGTGTAATTGTTTCTGTGTTACCCTGTGTCACATAGGCCTAGCAAATTTATTTAACAATATATATATATATATTGGACCTTTAAAAAAGATCACATTTAGTTCACCTTCAAATCTGGGGAAAAGTTTTGGGGCTACTGTTTTTGGCTCTCTCTGCTTTTAAATGTTCAATTCTTTCAAGATTACTGAATTTGCTTCTTTATACTGCCATACAGTATCCTGTCTTTTTGCTATGCTTAATGTCTGTGCCAAAAATCTGTTTTTTTTGTATTTGTATTCTTTTGTTGCTATGTTTCCATTTTTGCTTTAAATGCTTTTTTTTATTTCCCTGCAAGATTCCTGATTCAACTTTGTACTTCATTAAAGATTTCACATATTTCAAATAGAACCCATTTTAATTAGCTTTTTAATTACAGCTGCAGCAAGCTGTTTACTAGAGATTCTTAGTCTAGTGAACAAGCCCCTGTGGAGCTATTTAGCCTTGGAGAAAAGTGAAAAAGCCATTTTTAAATCAGAATGGAAATATTTTGCACACATCACACAATCGTACGGGAATTTTCTGAAATTCCAGTTTAAAGGATCCCCATTATAAAAGAACTGTGCCCCAGAACATGGGGATACAGATTCTGTGGGAAGGCCAAGAGCAGTGTGGTGACTTGGCTAAATTCCAGTTGAGTAAGTGTATTCTATTCAACCCAAATTCTCCTGTAGTTGCAATTGGCTGAGACAATTTTCACATTCACATTCTGATTGGGCAGCAATTTACACCACGTTGCACTCCCTTTGCACAGGTACATGTTACATAAGGTGCCAAAGGCAGTGCAGAACCAGGCCCTTTCCTGAGTCTGTGCTACACAATGGGGCATAGATGTCACTTTTCAAAGGTGGGTGAGGCATTTGTGTCCTAAAAGTATCCTGATATAAGTCTAACTTCTTTTATTTGTTAAGCTTTAAGAGCCATACTTTCAAAGATATTAAAGTGCTGATCTGCAGGCCCCTAAATACCTTTGAACATCAAGCCCTAAGTCCTGGTGAAATTCTCCTTTCAGTTACACCCAGTGTGAAGCCCAATGACTTAAGTAAAGTTTAACTGGTGTAACTGAGAGACGAATTTAGCCCATTGTAAGTAAAATCAACACTGTTTGTTGAGAACTAATTATGGGCCCAGTCCTGGCACTACTGCTAAGCCTTGGCAAATCTCCCATTGACTTCCCTGGGATCCAGATCTGGTCCAAATGTCTTAAATACTATACAATGGCACATATGCATTTGCATAAAGCGTATTGCAGTTCTGTTCACTTAAGAAACATGCAGTTAAATAACCTTAGATCTGAGCAGCAGGGTTGTCTCATTGCATCTTATTGTGAAACATAGACTATCAATATTACTTTCTTATGCTTCTTAGCATTTGGAATAGCCAAAGTCTGATATCTATTATTATGTATATTGTTCTTTCTATTATTATGTATATTGTTCTTTCCTCAGATACTGGACCACCTGTAGTGATCTCCTGTCCTCAGAACATTGAGATAGAAACCAAAAAAGGAAACCTCTACTGGAATGACTTGCCTGAATTCTCTTGGAAGGAGCCTGTGTTTGAAGACAACTCCAGGGGTCCACTGACAATCACAAAAGGAGGGTCCAATGTTAATAATGGAGACAAACTGGCATATGGCCAATATTCAGTGGAATATATAGCAACAGATCTTTCAGGAAACCAAGCCAAATGTTCCTTTGAGATCTCTGTGAAATGTATGTGTTTGGCTTATACTCAAGGTCACTGTTGGAATATAATGAAGTATTAATGCTAATTGTCCTGTGGCATTTGTTGTTTGATGATTAATACCATGTGGGGGTAGGATATAAACTCTCACATTTTGTCTACATCTACAGGCCATTTATATGCAAGGGTGAAAACATGTATCCCCAAATGTCCCCTCTTCCCCCCCCAGCTCTTACAGCTTTGCTCTCTGTCCTCATATAGCACAGTATCTTTTCACTGAAGCCTATGTGTCAGCTCTGTGTAAAGAATTGCTTCCTTCAATGGCTCCAGGTACAGATCCTAACACAAGTTATAGGATTCAAACAAACCTGTTACAATGAAATATGAGCCTGAGATGCACAGTTTGACTCCAGATTGGAAGTTGGGGCAGAGACAAGGCTTGAGGGGAAAGATCTGATATTCTGATTCAGGCTCCTCTCTGTTAAAAGAAATCATCTCCTGTAACCAGCATGTTTTCAGAAGTGGTCACTCACTCACCTTTTGTGCCACAGTTGTGTGGGGTATCCCACTTGAGACACCTGGTGCTTGATTTTCAGGGCTACTAAGAACCCACTTTCCACAGGGCACCCCAGGAGTGAGTCACACCAATTCACTGAACGCTTCTGAAAATTGTAGCTGTGTTCCTCCTGATGATTCCCTGTTCTGTTCATTCCCTCTGGGGCACCTGGCATTGGCCACTGTTGGAAGACAGGATACTGGGCTAGATGGACCTTTGGTCTGACCCAGTAGGGCCGTTCTTATGTTCTTATGTCCCAAATACTATCTCCAGCTATAATGCTATAATGAATTGCTGAAGACTATCTGAGTCTTACGCCCATCCAAGGGTTCAATCCCAAACTTTCCCTATGTTACACAAATAGGCACATAAGAATCAGTTTCCCTTTACATGCAGTAGGAGGCTATTCACATCATCCTGAAGATTTACTCAACAGTGACATTATTATCATGTATATGAATTTATAGTAATATTTTAAGAATTTCTGTCTAAGATTTTGCGTAATTTGCTTTTTACTAAATGTAAGTAGTATCACTCATTATTAACTCAGTTTTTATTGTTGTCTTTTTTATGTATACACAAAGCAATTGCATGCACAATGGAATTGCCGGAGCATGGAGCTATAGTCTGTGGCTATCCTTCGGTGGACGGCATGGACCTCATGACCATTGACTGTATTGTACTGTGTCAAAGCAAATACCAGTTTAGCAGGGATCCATATCCAATATATGCATGCTCAGAGGAGGGACTTTGGTGGACCTTCACAAGCACATTCACGCCTATTGGCCCAAATTTGCCAAGTTTAAACCATAAGTGCCAAGGTAAGAAAGTTTAAATGAATGAAAAACTTTGTACCTAATTAAAAATTCTTATTTGCATGTTATATTTTCACCACTTTGATGAGCCTGATGGCATGTAAATTATATTTCAAGGATTCATTAAAAGTAATTTTCCTTTTTTCTATAAACAACACTTGTCAGATTTCTCAAATCAGCACTGAATTAAACTGAGGTGGGTTGAGTTCAGCTGCTTGATTTACTTTATTACAGATTTAAAATCTGCTGAGGGAGTATAGATATTTCACATTAATTATGTTGATGAAGATCTGTGTTCTGATTACCAACCCTGAGTCTTTATACAGAAAATGGAGACATATCAATGAGATACCATACCACTCTCTAACCGGTGAGGGATTACAGGAATAAAGCACCATTGCTTTATTAACTGATGACTTTTCACAAGAACAAAACCTGAATTTATGGGCTTTGCACAGGGATCTTTCTAGGGCTTGCATATTGGGCACAAGCAAACAATAAGCCTTTTAATGTGGCTAAATGTAAATGTATAAATGTATAAACAAAGAATGTAGGCCATACATACGGGATGGGGGACTGTTCATGGAAACATGACTCTTAAAAAGATTTGGGAGTCGTGGTGGATAATCACCTGAACGTGAGCTCTCAGTGCAATGGCGTGGCCAAAAGGGTGAACGCGTAATGCTTGGATGCACGAACACAGGAATCTCGAGTAGGAGTAGAGTAGTAGTAGCGGTCCCTTGTATCCTTGGAATATATGAATCGATATACATTTTTAGGGTCTTTTGGGGGCAGAGTTGTGTCTATCTTTGTGGTTGGAGAATGCCTCACTCATTCTGAATGCTATCACAGTATAAATAATTATAAGAACCCACTAGCCATCCATGTGGCTCATCTTTAGTTGCTTCTACAGTCCCAGGGTTACAGTAGTAACTATAGTCCATGCACTATCTTCATAATGGCTTCTAGGAGGTGGCTGGGTGAAGACTGTGGATGCATTGGTCATGTCCATGCCCACTCCCCAGTTCTCTCCTGACTCATATTAGGCCAAGAGTGAGTGAACATGAAGCATTGTTCCAGCCAAGTCTGGAACAATTATCCAGCTACAGCTACAATTATCACCACTCTGTGATATACATTTTTTTTTCAGTCTCTATCTTCAGCCTGCCATGCTCAAAATGCAGAAAATTGTTGGCATAATTTTGATTGCATTCTTTCCTATTCATTTTATTTATTTTGGCCCTGATCCTGCAATAACTTATACATGTGCATAATGATGAGCATGAGAGTAATCCCAGTGGGTCAATTCATATACTTCAGATTAAAAACACATTTGTAAATCTTTGCAGGGTCCTTTTCCTAGGGGTTCATTAAAAACCCACTAAAAGCAATGTGAGCCTTAGTTCTTACCTTTAACCTTACCAATTAATTCTTTTATGATATTTGTTGTATTAAAAGTTCCAGATATGTAAACATTAAAATCAAAACTATCCTCATAGCATTTGATACATGTAAGTTGAAAAGTAGGATGCTCTGCATCACTGAGGTGACTGGCTAGGTCAAAATTAATCCTGTGTTTTCTTTGCCTGTATCTTTAGAACCAGATATCCATAAAAAGCCAAAAGTTGTTGATCAGAATTTTTACTTTGATGGTGACTGCCATGACAGAGCAGTGCAAGTCATGCTGATAGGACACTTGGAATATTTTCAGAGGAAAACTTCAGCATATCAGTACTGTGAATTAAACAGAGAGTTCTGCAGAAAGTGGAATGGTTACCGCAATGTAACGGTGTTCTGTGGAAGCACGTGAGATGGAATGACTGTATTGTTTGTTATGGGTTTATTTTAGAATGTATTTGCATGCGTGTGTGAGAACTACATATTATCCAAGTATTCAAACTGTTCCTTGAAAGCAGTTTGTGCTGTAACCTTATTTCCTCTTATAAAATAAAATTAGGGTAAAAATATAATCACTATCGTTTTCTTTCTTCTTGAGCTTCCCTATTGTTGCTACTACTTGCGAAATTTGGCATTGTAAGTTACATACATGGACTGATAGGCGACAGGATACTAGTGTGTTACATTTGGGGTTTTTGGGTGGTTTCCACTTTTTTGTTTTTTAATTATAATGTAAAACTGGTGAAGGCAATTTTGAAACCATATGTAGGAGTGTCATTATGGGGATATTTGTTAACACAAAGTCACACTAAGTTGTTTCAGAGTAGAGTGGCTGCTATTAAAAAGTCAGGATTTGTCAATAATTATGCTCCTCAGAGCTATGTAAGATTATCACAGTCTTTTTCCTCCTAGGTTTAGAATAGGAAGTATCTACTAGAACTTTGTAATAAGGGCACACAAATATTGATTAGCAATAGAACTGGTTGAAAAGTAGAAACAATTTTCCATGAAAAATATAGAGGGATTTTTTTCTCCCCTATTCATCATTCAAATTTATGACCAGCTCTGCTTGTTAATGGGCTCTATTGTATATTGTGAATTGGACTGTAAAATTATTTTACAGATAACAAGATCCCATCCAGAATTAAAATCTATCAATATTTATTTGTTGTCTTGGATTCAGCATTGGTAATATCACTACCTAGCAACTGATATCTGTAGTTGCCTGAATTAGATAAACACATTGGGCCCGAGCCTTCACTGGCATAGCTTGCTCTCCCTATTAACTGAAATGGAGTTGTGTCATTTGTACCAGCTGATGATTTGGCCCAGGGAGTATAGCTATTTTTGCAGAAAAAGCTAGAAGACAAATGTAGTTTATTCATTAGGGCTCTGGAATGGAAGTCAGGAGAAAGTTCCTTGTTTGGCCATTAGCTTGCTGTGAAATGTTGGGTAAGTCACTTAAGTTGTCTATACCAGAAGTTCTCAACTGAGGGTCTGCTGCTCCCTGGGGGACTGTGAGCCCTTTGTGTGTGTGTCGGGGAGGGGGGGGGGGTAGAGCCCCGCAGCTGAAACCCAGTGCCCTGAGCCCCAGCAACCCCCCTGTAGGTCTGAATCTGGGAGTGGCGTAGGGCTGAAGCTGAGAGCCCCAGTGTTCCTCCCGTCCGTAACAAAGCTGTGCAGGACTAAAGCCTTGATCCCCGGCGTTCCCTGCAGGCAGAAGCCCTGAGTCCATGGGAAGAGTTGGGGGGGCATAAGGGCGTTGCCCCCCAAACTGCAGTGCCTTACCCAGAGTGGAGCAGTCTGGGAACAGCTCCAGCACCCCCACACTGCCTCCTTTCCCCCATCCCACCTCAGGCCCAGCCCTCTGGTCAGGTTGTAGGTGGGAAGCCAGAGCCAGGCAGTGTGGGGCAGCTGTTCCTCTGGCAGGTGGGGCCATGAAGTGGGCAGCTGTGGCATTCCTCCCTCTGCTGCTGGTGCTCAGATATGGGAGCTCCTCAGCTCCCAGCCCTCTTTGTCTGCTCACACCTGGGTAGAGGGACCTGGCTCTGGGGTCAGCAGCGCCCTCAGGGAGCAACCACCGCAGCGGGAGCTCTCCTGGCACACAGTGCCTAACTATTGTTTTCCCTGAGCTACGCCCTGCCCCCACACAGCCCCTAGCTACCCCCTTCCTGCACCATGAGCTACCCTCTGCCCACACACAGCCCCTAGTTACCCCCTCCCTGCACCCTAAACTAGCCCCCCTGCCCGCACTCAGCCCATAACTACATGCTGCCTGCACCTTGAGCTACCCTCTCCCAGCACCCTGAGCTACCCCCTGCCCCCACACAGCCCCTAGCTACCCCCTCCCTGCACCATGAGCTACCCCCTGCCCAAACACAGCCCCTAGCTACCCCTGCCCTGCACCATGAGCTACCCCCCTGCCCACACACAGCCCCTAGTACCCCTCTCCCTGCACCACCCCTTTGGCTGCACACAGCCCCTAGCTACCCCCTGCCTGCACCCAGAGCGGTTTTCAAACTTTTTGAGCTGAGTCCCCGATTTTAGTTATATTTTTTGGTTGCACACCCCCCCTCCCCCAACCCAGCCGAGTGGCCTGCTGAGGTGAGTCAGGGGGTGGAGGTGCAGAGCTGGCCCAAGCCCTGCTGTCCCTTGCCCCCTCCCCCCCCCAAAATAGAAGTCAAACTGCCTAAGCCTCCCCCTACCCCTGCTGGGCCCTGGAGTTTTTCTAGCATGTTGGGAGGGGCCTCAGCAAGAAAAACCCCCCCGGTCTATACCTCAGTATCCCCTAGTTTACACTGGCATACTAATGCTTACCAATGTTGCTAAAGAATTTGGAGAGCTACATCTGAAAAGTGCAGCATAACTGCTCAGGATTGATATTATATTGTTACATTAAGGCAGAGGAAAAAATATAAAGATAGTTAAACTAGTTCTTAATGGAATAAACAGCAGGACTACTGGGACCAAGACATCGTTATGATTCTTGATTCATTAAAACAAAGCCTACCTAAATTCAGCGTTCTTCATTCGTAATGTTTAGATGTCAATGAAAATAAAGCTCCCAATGCTTTAGTTTTGTGAGTTAAACAGTTTATTATGGGAAACATAAACTGAACACTCTTTTTGGTCATACCAGTTTAGGTTTCTGTTGGTAAATTGCGCTCATCTTCGAAATTAACATGAGAGAGTGTCCCAGTCTTTCTAATGATAAATGCCACACATCCTGATGAATTGAGTAGGGGCTCAAAAACTTGAGCACAAGTAACTATGCTTCCACTTTCTTATGGTATCTGATACAAAGCTTTTGTAGTAGAGAACTGGAACAAAAGAAAAGTTGACACAAGCCAACAAAAGCAAGGCACTTCATGATTATGGCAGGAATTTTAACCTCAGCTCCACCTGCTGTGCAGCAAATAGTGAATGCCAAATCACCTACTATTTGGACTTAGCCCTAAGAGGTAGCAGGTCCGATTACAGTGAGCATGTCAGCTTCAACGGTGAACTGCCTGGCTTGTTGATTTTTTTGGTCTCTGTTGTCAGTTCAGTATTTCATGAGGTTTTTGGTCTTAACTTTCTAGGAACTGAATGGTGTGAGTATCACCTGTCATGAGAGTGAAAATACTTGCAGTATAAATAGCAGTATCACATAGGACCCTTTGTAAACTAACTTCTGGGATAAAGAAATACACATTTAGAGCTAAGTACTGCATTGCAAGATTACACACCCTTCAATGGATGTCTCAAGACAGTTAGAAAGACCAACACTATTTAATTTTTGCAGAAGATAAATTCCTCCAGATGGGTGTGAACTCCCATGAGCTATTTAATCAGATGCTGCTTACAGGACAAATCCTCCAAGGTGCTGATACCTCTTGAGGTATTGTGCACCTTCAGTTCATCTGGAAACGAAATATTTGGATTCTAGGTGTGGTTTATGCAGGAGCGGCGCCAGGGTTTTTGGCACCCTAGGCGGGGGGTCCTTCCGTGTTCCCGGTTGCCGTCGTCAATTCTGCGGCGGAGTGGGGTCCTTCCATGCTCCCGGTCTTCGGGGCACTTCGGTGGTGGGTCCCGGAGTGAGTGAAGGACCCGCCGCAGAATTGCCACCAAAGACCCGGAGTGTGGAAGGACCCCTCCCCGCTGCCGAATTGCCGCCGAGGGTGGCAAAATGCCGCCCCCCCCCAAATCCTGGTGCCGTAGGCGACCGCCTAGGTCGCCTAAATGGAAGCGCTGGCCCTGGGTTTATGGCTATGTTCAGAAAGAGATGAGTTGAAACACAATGTTACAGGGCACTATAGACTCTACCTTATAGATTGATCACTCTCATTTGTGAGAGACTGGCACACGGGTGCTGTCATGCCATATCAGAACTGTGGTCCATTTAGTTCAAGATACTGCTTACATTCCTTTTTTTATGACCACCCCAACATATTGAACAGATTTTTTTTTTCATTGTGGTGTCCTCAATGTTGCCCACGCCTTTCCTCTTTAATGTTTACAGTCAATTTAAAACTCAGAAATCTGTATGCATAGTTCAAATTATTCCTTTCCCACATGCATTGCCTGGCATTTGTAAACACCAAGGGTCATCTGCCGCCATGCTGCCATTCTGTTCTGAAGACTATTATGCAGAAAGCTTCTTTGCAACAACCTTATCCCGTTTAACTGATCTCTCAGGAGGGCTGATGAACACAATGATTCTTTGGCATGCGCTCCGTTTACAACCTATGTACACAATGGCTTGGTATTTATTTTATTATCTTTGGCTAATTGCTCTTTCAATTCCACATTAGCCAACCTAATTTCCATCTTAGATTTTGTAAGCCATAATTCCTGTTCCTTTCATTGACTTGTGTGCTCGTATTAATACCTGTTCCGGGAAACAATTGTTGAAGATGTCAAGAAATTGCTTCTCTGATATTATAGTTGACTGCTTTATATGCAGTTAGTTGATGTTAACTACTATCATTGCTATAGGCTCCAATTCAGCAAGGTACTTAACCATGTGAATGGTCACACGGGGATAGAGCGTCAGTTGGTATAATTTGTCATAGCAGCATTGTTGACTTCAAGGGAACCAGCTGTGGAACTGCTTAATTTACTTCAAAGGACTACGCCCATGCTTAAAGTTAACCACGTGCTTTAGTACCTTGATGAACTGGAGTCTTTTAAGTTGCTTCTTTGATCACTCTTATCACTTATCTACACAAAAGAATAAATGGACACAAATCAGACGTCAAGAATTATAACATTCAAAAACCAGTCAGAGAACACTTCAACCTCCCTGGTCACTCAATTACAGATCTAAAAGTTACAATTCTCCAACAAAAAAACTTCAAAAACAGACTAGCGAGAAACTGCAGAATTGGAATTAATTTGCAAACTGGACACCATTAAATTAGGCTTGAATAAAGACTGGGAGTGGATGGGTCATTACACAAAGTAAAAACTATTTCCCCATGCTATTTTTTCCCCTACTGTAATTCACACCTTCTTGTCAACTGTTGGAAATGGGCCATCCTGATTATTGCTGCAAAAGGTTTTTTTCTCCTGCTGATAATAGCCCACCTTAATTGATTAGTCTCCTTATAGTTGGTATGGCAACACCCATTTTTTCATGTTCTGTGTGTTTGTGTGTGTGTGTGTGTATATATATAT